TAGCGCTGCGTGCGTGCAAATTTCCGCTGACGTTTCGTTATCCCAACTGGGCGGACTGTACGAACCAATCTGAATTGGAGCAGGGCGGTTATTGTAGAGCTCGGCACCCTCAGCTTTGATCTAATCTGTCGTGGAGGTGCCCCTGAACAGGGCCCCACGAGGGCGGCAAATGGGCATCGGTAAAACGACTTCGCCTTTGCCACTATCAATTTTCGCGATTTCCCACTTGATCCCGCTAGCTGCGGTTGTTCGATTGGAGTGTGCATTCTTCCTTTGATGAACCGTCGTCTTTGCTACTCTGATCCTAACAAGGAGGAAAGGAGGAGTTCTGGAACCAAAACTTACTGTGCACCAAACTTTACGTGTAGAACAGATTTATGTGAAAATTTTGAACAAACTCATGTAAACTGAAAGTTTTCCCTACAAGGCTTATCCAATGAAGTGTCAGGTGCACCAGCACCTGCATTCTCGCGCTGAACTCTGCCTCTTAACCGCGGAACATGCTCTCTGAGAACTTTCCCACGGCGAGTGTGGGAAAGACGGAGCCTCAATTGATTGGAAGTGATAAGGGAGCATGTTCCGCGGAAGAGACGCAGAGGCCAGCGCGGGGGTGGAGATGCTGGCGCGCCCGACACTTCATTTGATAAGCCCTGTATCTCAGGTAGGCATTAGGTGGGCAATTGTCCACCTTTTTGGTAAAAAATTGGGCATGCTCTTCATTCACATAAGTTTTGCATTATTTTTCATTTTGTTCCTAAGTCCTCCTGCGTGCATACACACTGTATACCAAATCTCGCGCGATTTCGTCTTCTCTGCGTTGCAAATGAGCCATTTTTCCATTTTTTGGTATCGGGAAATTTTCAGAAAAAAAGTTTACCACAACCTTCAGTATCACAATTTTTTAGTGAAATTTCTTAATTAACCCCCTACAGGCCTGTGTTCATGTATGTATTGAGTTTCATACCATATCGTCATCTGCTTATTGCAAAAGAGCCTTTGAATTCACATTTTCATTCACCAGTTATGCACAATTTTTAGAAAACATGCTATTACGCCTTCCATTCATATAAATTTTTCGCAAGTATCATACTTTGTTTCCACTGGCCTCTCTACGTTCGTTTACGAAATTTGGTGCCATATCGTTACGCATACATTGAGAACTAGTCATGTATGTTGTTACAAATAGCACCGGTTAAGCGACGTCGAGCTCGGGAATTAGCGACGGCACGGTTTGACGCGCGCGACTCCAATGTTTGCCTATGAGGCCCATAACATGTTTTAAGATAGGCAGAAAGCATGGACTACCAATTTTTTTCGGGGCTTCGCCCGGACCACGCAGAAACGACATCCGCTTTGCTTTTTCACCCCAAAACGATTTCGAACCTGTCATTTGCCCTTCTCTTGCCGGGCCCTGGCACTGAATCCACCGGCCTGCTCCAGCCCAAATATAAAAATGTCCACTCTATACGGGATAAGGGCGACTAGTAGAATGAAAATCAAACGCCGACGCGGATCAAAAATTCAGAAAGCCGATCTAGGAATCAGCTTTTGGGTTCCTACCAATATTACGAGAAGATTAGACGGCAGATGAAACTGAACATCCTGTGGCCGTATTCATCAACAAACCCTGAGATTAAACTAACCCTGGAGGGTAAGTTTAACCCTCAGGATTCACTGGCCGTATTCATCAACATAAGGTAGGGTTTACCACGGAACGCGATCCACCCGTGATTAAAGAACCTGTGGCCGTATTCATCAACGGACCCTGAAGGTTAAACTAACCCTGGAGGGTTAAGGCGTTAGTTACGCATGCGCTGTGCAAACTCACATCACAGAATGCCTGAGTACGTGCTAAATTCACTTTATACTTATATTTTCACTGTTATAGTAGTATAATCAAAGAATAAGCTTCTAACACTGTTTTTATGATACATCTCTAGCATATTTGTGCAGCATCCAATCTTACATCGTGAGTTTATTTTCATGTGTGCATCTGTGCCGTGTAAGTTCTACTTTTGCGCAGTTCGTATCATACCGGGCTTATGCTACTCTTTTAAGGGTCAATGTGTGTTATTATAAAGGAATTCTTCTGTTTTGACACTTGTCAGGGTGGAATGCGCATTTTTAAAATGCGCCTCGTCGCATTCATTTGTCACCAAAGCTAGAATTCTTTTTCTCGCAAAGTCAGTGTTTCATGTACTTCGAATTTGAACATAAAACGAAGTCGAAACTAAATACTATAACAACAATCAATACTAAATACTACAACACTCGTTGATCGTTTTCCATAAAACTATTAGATGCGAGTAAATGTTTGTATTAAGTGTTAGGGTAGAGTTAATCTTGCTCTAAGCTAGGGTTAAATTAACCCTGATGAATCGCGTAATTTTACCCTCCGAGGTTAGTTTAACCATCAGCGTTCGTTGGTGAATGCGGGTTATCGCTTTCGGGGTAAGATTTACCTTCAAGGGTAGATTTAACCCTCAGGGTTAAGCCTACCCTGTGTGTCATGAATACGGGTTAATCGCCTTCCAGGGTTGAATTACTTCTCCAGAGTTAGTTTAACCTTCAGGGTTCGTTGATGAATACGGCCACTGGAGTGGTTTTCATAGTTTGGAAAAACGTTTCCGCCATCGTCCTTTTTCGTCACCAATGGGCCAGTTGAGAAATCAGTATTTAAATACGTTTGCAGAATCTCATGAAGTACGGTGACCAGCAAGAATAGCTTGGATAGAAATTTTTTAGATTAGCAGAATAATATGAAATGCTCTACAACATAGGCACTCAAACAAACGTTTATAGGGACGAACTTGATTAGAATGGACTCAAAAACGTATTAGGGGTCCAAACGTTCTGTCACACCATTCAAAAAATAACTTCTTCCGATAGTCTTGCATGGGCTTGATATTGATAGAAAGAGTAACTCATTTTACTTTCTAATGGCTTCTTGTTTACTCTCCACAAAGCTCTGACCGCAGATGAAAATAGAAAAAAAGTGAGGTCTGGTGGTTCTAAGGCTCCCGCCAGAGTGCCGAAGTTATGCCAGCGCTATGCTAGCATTTCGATCGATACACATGTATTTCGTTGGGGACATCTACCTGCTGAGCTAGCCCCGCCCCAACGAAATACACGTGTATCGATCGAAATGCTGGCGTAGCGCTGGCCTAACTTCGGCACTCTGGCGGGAGCCTAAGCAAGCCCTTTAAAGTCTAGAAACTGTGCCACAAAATCCAGTCAGTATCATAGCTTTTGGGATGCTCTTTTCAACTAAGCAATGAGCCCCTCGAGCTCTTCTTCAAAAAGTAATGATTTTCGAAAAATAGCAGCAAACGGGAAAACTGATATTTTGCAGTTTCACCGGAAATCATAACTTGTAGAGGAGTTCGATCAGCACAAACCTTAGTCCGAAAGGAGAGATCAAGAAACTCATAACACTAACTGTTTCAGATTTTTATGGCACAGTTTTAAATTTTCACAGGGCGTACTCAAAATCACCGAATCTTAAGGCACCTTCTTTTCCCTCATTTATCTCTGGAATCAAAGCTTGCAGAAAATAAATAACGCGTCATTAAAAAGCAGATGATTTACATTTTCTTAAAGTGTGAATGATATGCAAGCCTACAGCGAAAGAAAAAAGTTACGATCATTGAAAATGGTGCGAAAGATCTTTTGGACCAGTCCAATACAAAAGTAGATGCCGTATAATTCAACGGGATTGGCGGCTGGAAGGCAATCGCTCGCACCCGCGACGCAGTCTGCTTTCGCGGACGTGCTTCCTGGTCTTTCCCTAGCCTTTAGGCCTCGAAGACCCGCCTTTCAGCCGCCAATCCAGCTGATTCAAAGGGTAGAGACGATATGAAGCGAAACCAAGAGTCTAAATTATACTAACAGGGAGGTCCGAATGGCCGAAGTGGCCTTTTCATATGAAATTGATATACTATAAAGAGCATCGACCGCTGATACTAAATCTGTCTTCGTTATCTGCTGAGCACCTCTGGACGTCGAGTTATGAACATTTTTTTAATTGAAAAATTGAATGCATAATTAGCGCAAAATTCTTCAGAATTGCTCAAATGGTCCAGTCTTGATTATCAGAGCACTCCATCGGAACAACACCTTGTCCAAAAACTCATACTTAACGCCTTTATTAAAGCGCTGAAAAGACCGTAAAATTTGATTTTACGGTCTTTTCAGTGCGTTCAATTTTCGCACCAGATATTTATAACTCGGAATGCAGACGCGCTCGGCAGATGATAAAAACAGATTTGGAATCAGCGTTTGACGCTTCAAAGTGGTATAACCTCATTTGGAAAGGCCACTTCGATTAATCGGACCTTCCTTGTAAGATTGAGTAACAGCGCAACGATTTCGAGACAACCCAGAAGTTTACAGCTGTGAATAAGAACTTCGAAAGAAAAACATCCGTTCTGGCAATGTATGGGGCATTCGTAACGATGGCCCGACCCGACACGCACACACCTTCCGGCAACCGCATTTCCTTGGTTTCAATCTCTACTCGACTGGTTTTGCTGCTCAGGTATATAAGTACTTGGGCAGTGAAAGTGACTGAGCTGTGCGTTGGATGATGCCTTTTTGCATGAGAATATTATGCTCCTTTGGGAGCAAAGACCGCAGTCAATCCGTCGTCACGATTTTATAAATGAACCTTACTTGCGTAAGCCTAATATCATTTGACAAACGCGCGCATAGTAAGGCCCACAGATCTGCAGAATAAATTTTCATCAATACATGACGATCATCAACTATCGCTCCCCAGTTTCACAGCACTGACTCCGGATTGACACACTTTCCTCATAAGAGACGGTTAGAGTCACAATGTAGCTGGCAACTGGCGTATACAATGAGATGTTCGCGAGTAAAGAATCATTTTGAAGGGGCCCACGATAATCTGTGCCTACTCACAACTTCTCACTAAAAAAGCCTATCAATTTCGAACAGCTGTAATCGGAAAACAAAAAAGAAAACAAGAAAGTGAAATGGGAGAAAATGAAAGGACAAGTACTAATGCACTTTTTATTTCGATAATTCGCACTTAATCACAACTTGGCATTAATCACCAAAAAGGATATCACAACCATAACACGGACAAGACAGCGCGTCACATAGACGCGATTTTCAACACAGCCAGGGTAAGAAGGGAGTCAAAAGCAAGTAAAAATGTTAACCGCTATTTTCACGAAGGCCTGGAAATGCAGTTGTGCAAGTAGATGAGTGCAGAAAGAAGATTATTCGTTACAAAGGGTCGAAATTAGGACTTATTACATTATGTATATAATCGAAATGATAAATATAAAGATTGTGTGATTATTTGAAAATCTTGTCGTAGTCAACTATAAGTCGATAGCAGAAATTGTTCAAGTTGTTCAGCTGGGCTATAGGCACCTAAAACACAGATAAAAGTGACTGAGAAAGTAAAGACTCATCGGAAAGAACTTACTTGCTGATCAGTAGGCCACGTAAGATTTGGGCCGAAAACGACACTGAGATTATTTGCAGTCATGAGATTTACTTTATGGTTGGCCGCCACCTCAAGAGAATCATGATTTACATAAGGGGCGCATATAAATACAACACTACCTTGGTCAAAAATTCAACCACAGTCTTCAGTAGAATATAATTTGGTCGAGGAAGTAGCGCAACGAATTCCTTCACAACCGGCGTCTTTTCACCTTTCGGTACATCTGTGAATGTTGAAACTCAGATAAATGTTAGGTGAGTCAGAAAGGCACAAGTAAAAAAGATCTAACAGCAAATATATATAGCAGTACAAAGCACGAATTTGTCACACCAATTTGAGCACTATTTTTTGCATCAGGAGAAATTAAGGCCTTGTGTGGACAAAAACGAAATGTAGACAAAAACATTTTGAGGTCAACGGTCATGGTCACTATCAATTATACAGTGTAGTTATACGAGTACTCGATTTCTGCTTTTTTTGAAAATCCAAGACAAGTGCAATACATTACATCCTCACAAAAAAAGAGTGAAGAGATGACAAGAAGCAATTGGAAAGAACAACAAAGAATATGGAGCGGAAAAAGCTGACCTGCCAATGTCGCAAGACGAGGATAAAGAGCGTTAGTAGTGACTGGCTCCCCAAGTGATCGCAGGAAAGTCTTCAACAATACCGAGGCATGTATGCATGCAATATAGATATTGTCCTTGTATTCTGGATCATTCTCAAAATCGATTTGCTCTCCTAAACAAACAGAATTAATTTTCAAGGATTCCGTCAAATAAATTTAAAAAAAGTCTAGGTGTGTTGAATCACCAATCTTACCTTTATTAATTCGTTCTTGTAGTCTACGGATGCTGCCAATGTTTGCACTTTTTCTAAATATCCCCTCCACATCCAGTGCGTGTTTCGAGAGAAAATCAATGAGTTCTGTTACAATTGGTGGCACATCATTGTCAGGGTTATGCGCGAGAATGCTGGAAAAACAGCAATTTACAACTCAATCGATCACACAATGGGCGCTGCAGTATATAAGGGTGTACAAAGTCAATACTGCAATTACAAAGTCAATACTGCACGAATTTTTACCCTATAAAAAGTAAGTGCCATAAGAAAGAGTCTTTCTTATGCAAAATGAGCACAACGACGTGTACTAGTGTAGGAATTAAAAAAGCTCAAGGATATGAACACTTATTTCAAACTTACAAGTCTAAACTGACGCCAAATTGTTGGGTAGGTCTTGGCGGTGTGGGTGGTGTCTGAGATCGGTAATCATTGGGTGAACTTCCCATCGCTGCTATTATTTGTTCATCATGAACACGAATGGGATGAGGTAAGTTAAGTCTAAATAATAGTCACCATTCATCTTCATACCCATTTAAACGAGAGAAAAGCGAAGTAAATATTGAGAAACAACTGGACGAATGGAAAACAAAGCATACCTTGCTACTGAAAGGGCATCTTCGAGCTCCTTTATACAGTTCACATAATGAAATTTATCTTCGAACTTGGAAGAAATGAATGGTTTGAATAGACCCCAAATTATACGGATAAATCGGGTCGGATGTACAACATAGAGAGCTTTCAGATTCTTCTTGTATCTGAAAAATATTGTGAAAACGCAATGAAAAAAGAAGCAAGCTTTGCAAACATTTTCCTGGAAGAAAAACGAGCGGCAAATGAGCTGTTTTCGATAATAAAACTACTTTGTCAGTCATATGTAAGGTATTAATTAGACTCAAAAAGTATCAAAGTTTACAGATTTACAGAAAAAGAATTACAAACTTACCTCCTGTCTAGAATTTTATAAGCTTGGAATAACCACTTGATTGGTGGTTTATTGTGGCTCCTGAGACCATAATGAAAATAGACTATCGTATAGTCCAGATCAACCACCTAAATGTAAAAAGTACGCAAGACGCAAAGTGGTAGAAATCACCAACCTTATCAAGAACCGACTGTAAGTATCGAAGCAATTGAGCATGATCTATAGATTTACTCGGTGGCAGGCGGTAAGCGTAAAAAACAATAATGGGCCTGCAAGAGGTATGAAAATAACTTCAAGGACGAGCAGGTCGAGGAAAGAACAAAAGCAAAAAAACAGAATCTGCATTTGCAGCCAAAAAAATCTAAAATAAGAAAAACACCCGAATAGGAATAAAAAAAGCGGTACCTCCCTACGCGATCGCCATCGGCAATGACCTCGACAATTTCATGAGTAGCAATGCTGGTGAAATCCTCTTCGAAGGGATCAACTGTACCTAGCTCGGACTCGTAATCCGATCTTTCCAAAAATGATCTGGACGGCGGCACTCCGCTCAAATCCACTAAATTCAGAACAAAAAATTACACTGCAAATCGAAGCCGGTTGAACTATGATGTAGGTTTCATGTCTTCATGCTCTACTTCACAAGAAAAAACTTTCCGCGGAGCTGCTATAAAATCCAAATAACCCATTTCAAAAACAGAGTGGCTGCTTAACTACGTAGAGTTCTCCATCAAAAAAAAACATAAAATGGGTGCATGTCTAGATGGAACTGCATTCGGAGAAAAAAATGCAAAAGTAAAAGCGTGAATAAAATGAAAAAAATGTAACAAAAAGATGGCGAAGATAAGTAGAATGTAAAACCAAAAAGCGACAAAGTTTTGTTTCTGATCAAAGTGTCTCCCAACTCACCACTGATATCATCCGGTGCAAGCAGATCATCGTCAGCAAAGCCATCCTCTGGCTCGGTAAAAGCGCCGCTGGCCTGACTATCGAGCGCCGACATGCGACAAAACCTATAAATTGGTGAACGATAAGGTACGAAGCTAACGCGAAACGATGCATAACCGAATGACGTTATGGCCATCAATAATTATAGCTTTCGCCACATGTTGGAGTGTGCACAAAGGCACAGTCACAGTCACAAAAGATGCAAAAAACACCCTCATAGCATTCAATGACTTCGTCTTTTGGATGATAAAAAACTGTCGTAATTTTTCCTATCTTTCGTACGAATTTTGACGCACACACACTCATAGTGATTTGACGATTTCATAGACCAAACTAGAGAATTCAAGAAAAATTAACGAACAAGGGAGGTTCAGCGGGAAATTACAAAGAAATTCGATGGCTAACCCAGATAACAAATGACGCATTAGATAGATTAAGTACGGAAAAAAAGACCTTTATCTTACCACGTATAAAAATAGAATAACCGAAAAGAAACAGAGGGCAACAACCACTTTTATAAAGTCAAAGATCAAAAAATAAAAATGTGGGAATCAAGAAACAATATGAGAAACATGGAAAAATCAACACTCAAGAATTCCTGAAATAAGAGGCTTACCATAATCTGTGCCTCACTCAAACACTCCCTGAACCCCTTCGCAGGATGATTGAGGTATATGACAATTTAATTGCAGATTTTCTTAATTACTTTTTACATGTTTCAAAAGTCCTCTTGACAACTGCGATGATGTCGAAACAACAAAATTTGGAAATTGGCTGATGAGAAACTGACCGCAAACACTAACAATAAAAGCTGGTTTCAAAAAAATCATTGAAATGGACATGAGAAGGCAAACCATTAGCTTCAAGAATGTCCATATAAATCAGAAATATAATATAAACTGAGCTATGTATAGGATCCCTGAAACTACCAAAGAAAGCAACAAAAAACTCCTGGAAATGCAACACCTGAGTCATTTATCATCCAAACAACAATAATCGTAAAATGCACAAACTTTTATTGCCAATAGCATGAACAGAATTCTTGGAAGCAGTGCTGGATGGAAATGCGGTGACAAATGTTCCAAAACATAAGAAAACAAATAAAGCTTCGACGGAATGACGACAAACGGAAACCGACGATTACGCGCTAGAGGGCCATGCGAAAACGAGCGCTAAATCATGAAAAGAGCACGCAATGCTGCCATAATTCTATGCATTCCGAGATTTTGAGATCTCGTAAAAAAATACTCCGGGGAGTCAATTAAGCGATTGACTTTCATGCACAGAACAATTCCAAGCTTTGGCGGGTGGAATGACCTTTTGCGCCTCGTAATTTGCATCCGAAATCAATGTCGCAATCACGAATCGGACAGGTTTCCGACCCAGATCATGTCTGCCCGCAAACTTATGCGTCATGCCGTTTGCATTCGGTCGGATAGAGAAATTCATCAATTTCCTCCTACGCTAGCTGTTTTGGATACAGCCTTGTTATTCCTCAAATCCAAGATTGGAGTCGCCGCTGCAGAAATCTTGGAAGAACATTTTTACTAAAAAACTGGCAGCGCTTGGGATTGAAATGCGATGTTTTTTACTTTTCGCAAGTCCCATGTAAGCTATTTACTATATGATCGGCTCCCATATTCGTGTGGAGGGAATTGCGGACTTCCCTGATTTCAAGGATAAGCTTGACGAGAGAGTACAATACAATGCTAGAACGTGGAAGTTTAAAGTTACTCCTGAAAAAACAGGAAATTCCGCAACCCGCCTCCACATGAATCTTGGAGCCGATGATATGTGTAAGTTCTCTGCTAATTTGTAAGTGGCCTTTTCTCTATACGACTAGTCGCTGTTTGCAGTTTGTAATTGCGTACTTAGAGGCGACCGGCTTGCAACGCTCATAGGTCACCCAGCTTGCATATTCGAAGTTGTGAAGAGGCTGACTATGCAATCGAGCGTGCCTTTTCACGTAAGAATAGCAGGACATGCTACAGGAAGTTGTAGACGCGACGCGAGGCCGTGGCGATACGGCGCGCATCATGCGATCATGCCCATCCGCACTGGAATAGACTATATAACAAAAACTCAGAGCTCATCGCAACTCTTGCTGGATTCGGCCATTTTCCCGCTTTTTGAGTCAATCTGTTTGTCAAGGCTCGTTTCTATAAATCTCTCATCTATTCCTTTATCAAAAGTACTGTAGAAGACAAATTTACTGAACTGAAGACAAATTTACTGAACAACAAGCGCAGTCGCATGCAGGGACTTCTGAGACCCGCCATACTTGATCCTCTTGATCCGCTTGATCCGCTTCGTGCAAAACGAGCGCTTAATGGTTTGTCATTTGGCGCCGCGTAGATAAAAAATGATTTCGAATGGTTGCACAAATTCGCTCTACGTGAGCGCTCGTTTTGCACGAAGCGGATCAAGCGGATTGAGCGGATCAAGCGGAACGAGAGGATCAAGTATGGCGGGTGCCTGAGATGCAAAAAGTTTGAAACAAATTATGGGGGGGGGGGGGGGAGTCTGCTGTATAAGCTGAAGACTATACTGCGTGAGGCTGCGCAATTTCAAATTCAGAACAGCGTGCCAATGCTTAATCTGGCTGGCTAATGTGCTCGGATATTACAATACCGGCGCCTGAGGCATCTTTCAATAGGTACAGTCCCTTTCTCAAAGCATAAACCCTCATTATCACGGTAGACAATGGCTAGATGGAACTAATTTGCGAGCTCTGCTTAGCTATGGATGTTTATCTCTCAAAATTATATAGTCTTTCTGCGGGGTTCTTTTAGATTCGATTGTGCAGAGCCCCATGGAAAGCAAGAGTGTATGTAGAAAGCAGTAAAATTAGCAAGAGGAACAAACGGCTTACCCACCAATATCTTTGACAGTTGCCAATGCGTATCGACAACAGTTGCACTAGAAAAATCATCGATGGGAAGAAAAATTGAAAATTTTATTCTATGGGCGACACCGTACAGGTCAAATTCGCTGAGCTATGCTCGATTAGTTGGGCTAGAGAGACAAAAATGCATGAAAAAATAATTTGTAAAAAATAAAAATCTTTGGAATCTGGAATCTAAAAAATCAAAACAAAAAAATACACTAAAACAGAATGCTTTTGTCCATGGCAAGACTGATCCTTTAACATAAACACAAAGTATATGAAACAAAATATCAACGTAATCAAGTAGCGGCTGTCCCGTGTATTCCCAGAACGAAGCCACAGGAAGCAATTTCGTGTCTGTTGGTTTTTTTACACTTCAAAGATGGATTGTTGTAGCTTTCGCAAACTGTGTGAGAAAATGAAGTGCCATCAACATGCCCATTAGATGGGAAGTCCTTTTTTTTGCAGAAAGATGCCTTGGGTAATTTATTGAAGGGGAATATCGACAGCGGGCTCCTTTTACAAAGAATGCATGTTTAGTCGAAGTGGTCTTTTAAGATGAGATGTATACCATACTAAAGAGCATAAATGCTGGTTCCAAACCTGCCCTCTTTATCTGCAGAACATTTATGGACGAGGAGTTATGAGCGCTATTTGGAGCAAAAAATTGAATGTGCAAGTAGGACAGAAATAGACGTAGTACTTTTTCTACTCTCTAATGGAGCAGTTATAATCAACAGAGCACCTATTGAAAAAAAATCTGAAATAAAAAAATGTAACGCACTTGGTTGTCTTATTTGAGGGCTAGTAAGATTTTAGCAACTCATTTTATTCAACATGCACATTCAATTTTTGGCAAAAACGCTCATAACTCTTCGTCCATGAAAGCTCTGCGGATAAATAAAGCAGTTTCTTAATCAGCGTTTTATGCCCTTTAGTATGGTATACATCTTAGAAGGGTCACTTCGACCAAACAAGTCTTCTTTGTGAGAAAAGAAAGGCAAAAGGAAGGTTTTGCACATCATACGAAAACATTCTGCTCGCAAAAATCAAACAAAATTTTCAGTTTTGAAGTAAAATGAGATCCAAAAATTTTCCATACTTACAGAATGAAAACTTTTGAACTTTAATTTCAGTTTCTGAATGGTGTTTTTCAAATCTGGTCCATATCTAAATGGAAAACTCCCTTCAAAGCACCTTTAAGGCTACGTATGGCAAGTAAACAAATTTGATAACGAATGATAAGATGGGAAATGGTGTGGTCTGCAAGTAGTTAAGGGTAAAAGATGAAAAGGGTCAACAGTCAAAATTTACCAAAAAAATCAAATCGAGTTCGCTTCGCAAATACTCAAGTACCAAAAAGATGAGACATCGTTCATTACCGCACCCTCTTTACCTTATATTATAAAACACTCCAAAATCTTTTCATTTTCCAAAAAAATATGCAAAGTAAGTCTTGCATTTGGAACACTAGACATGCTGAATCTATATAGTTCTTTCCATTTCAGTAAGTCAGACGAACGTACATAACATTATGATCCCTTATTACGTTTTTCTAGCAGTCAGGTTTTTGCTCCCTCCTCCCCCCCCCTCCTACTTTTATTTTTTGGGCAGTTCGAAAAGTCGTTTTTGACGAGGTGCTGCGCGAAGAACTTTCTCTAAATGAGCGTCCCGAGAAGAATTTTGTAGAGCTACAACACAAGAAATGTGGGAATGATTCCAGTAATTCACAATCGAAAAATTATTTGATTTTGAACTCGTCATTGGAGAAATAATGTATGTATGATAATATGGGTGTAGATTGACTGAAGTTCGAATTCTTGACATACGTGCTCAAATTTATAAAATCCACTGATGAAGAATTTCCTTGAAATCAACAACTCAGAACTTGAAAGATGAAAATCACCAATTCACAGAGACACCGAAGGTATCCTTCACTAAGCACTTGAACAGAAAGAGGACGATAAAGAAAGAAACTTTCATTACACAAAGAGATACTGGATTAATTTATAGTTACTCCAGTGACTGAAATGTCAAATCGATAGAGTTCAAGTGGACCTAATTGCTGCAAGTTTCTTTGTCGATGTATCTGTCAAGTTCCCATTGCCCTCCTTCCTGAACGTCCTTGTACAAGTTGTTTGCACTGCGCCTTGACAAAATTAGAAGAGCACATCTTTAGGTTGGTCAGATCGAATCTAGGAGGGTCTGCCATGGTCCAGAGGTTTTTTTATCATATTCTTTTTGATCTCCAAACTTGGACATGTGCAAATAGAGCAAGGCTGCACCTTCACTATCTTCAAAAAAATTACATTTGTGACTGAAAAGACTCCCGGACAAGTTACGGGTAAATAATGCTTTGACCAAGCCTTATTCAGTGCGAGCTCGTAGTTGATGCTCGTGGCCTTAGAATTATTGTGAAGTCGCCCAGTACCGTAATCTCTCCGATCGGATCAGGCAGCGTTCTCGATTACGGTACCAATTGAGTATTTAGAAATGAACTCCTTGGTCAAATCAAGATTATTAAGTCTGTCTCACTGTTCAAAATACATAACCGTGGGAGGAAAAGAAAGGCAAGAAAAATCCAAAAAAACCGAAAGGTAGTATTATAAGTAACAAATTCTGTTGCGCAATTTTAAAAAATCTGAGAGGACTGCCTAAAAGCATGTGCATATTTCTGTTTTGGAAGCCACGAATCGCTGCAAGGCTTTCCAGAATTGATGATTTCGTTGCAAGGTAGCTACGGGAATGAGAGATATATTATGAACCACAAAGTACCAAAATTCAACCGATTCCATGTTGTACTGACCTTGATAATAGCTGAACAACTTTACATAGCAAAAATAATTTACATAGCAAATTATAACAGATTTATCATGGTGCAAATTCACAGAATGTGAAGCAAGATCACTAATCAAATTGTACAAAGGTCCGGCAGTATAGGTTAAGTAGGTAATTTTAAGACAGGACTGGACTTATAAAAGTGTATAAAGTTAATCTGTGTGCGGTAATCATGAACTGAAATTATTAGTCATGCTTTTGTGACCTTCTCCCTACCAATTTTGCAATCTTCGCAACAATTGAAAATCTCTTGGCATTACAGTAACACGCTTTGCGTGAAGAGCGCATACGGCTGCGTCGCTGAACTTGCTGACCAAGAAAAATTCAGCAGCCTACAAAATACAGACATACAGGCTGAGAAAAAATATAAAAAGCTTTAACAAACCTCTTGCAGTGCTTCTAGTGATTCGGATGTGAAACGGTAATCCCCTTCAAAAAGGTCAGTGGCGATTTCACGAACGACACGTTGAAGTGATAGCTGGAACAAGTGAGATAAAGAAGCCTATTATGTAAGGGAAGAAATAATAAAGTCTTACAATTAAGAACTTACTCTAGGTATGAGGTTGTGTGTGGTTTTCTGCAACTTGCGAATTTCCTGCAGTGCTCGGGCTCCAGGTCGATAGCGATTCTGCCTTGGTGTCGGTAAGCTTCTCCTGTGTTGCAGCCGAGGTCTGTTATCTGAATTAGGTTGGGTATATGAGCCAATTACAAGGGGACACAAGCTTTAGGGAAAGTATTCTTTGATGCGTCGAGCTTCGGAAATGCGCTTTATGCACACCGCAATGATGGCTACGGGGCGGCAGTAAAATTCGTTTTGTACGCCAAAAAATTACATGATAAATGGGATAAGTGAGTTAGCTTGTATCAACTTTTCCCTTCAAACTACACAGAAAAAAGCTGCAACTGTTTTGAGCGATACAGTCACAAAGATGCTCAGAAACGAAAAAAAAACTGCCTAACCTGCTACCCTTGCCGGTCTGGCCATCGCAGAGCTCTCTTCGAAATCTCGTCGTCGATGTTGTTGCTGTTGCCGATATCCATACCCATCTTCACGACGCTGATCTCGACCGCTGTCATACCCTCGTTCACACCGCTCAGGTACGGCATCGCGGTTCATGAGATGATCAACACGGCTTCTATCACTGAAAAGAAAATGAGTGTGAACACTAGAATTGAGTTTGATTAGCCTCAGTTATGACTGGTGAAAGTAAAGACTCGGCTATTTGTCAAGACCGCAAAGTCCACTGTCCTGGAATATTCCAAGCTTAAGAATCTCGTAAGGTTGCAATGATCTGTGCCAGAGCCAGATACATTGCACACATAAAAACTGGAAACGGTTTTCAAACTCAAAAAGCGCTATTCGAAACAAAAAAGGGTTGAAGGGAAGAAAAGTATTAGGGTTGAAACATGAGTCTTTCGCAAAAAATATTCTAGAAGATTGACTTGAAAACGCTCAGATATACGTTTCAGATTTTCAAAGATTTTGACCTGATATGGAAAGGCATTTTGAGCGAAATCAACCAACCTGAGCTCTGACATTTCGCGTTTTGAGAAATGTCGCTGCGGCTCCCTGTATTCGCCTCGTACTGCTGACATCATTACATCACTTGGCTGGGTAGAATCACGCGCTCTGAAATTATACGATTAGCTATCACAAATTTCAGATCCCCGAAAAAATTGCTCACGTTTCTAAACGGCTATTAGAGGTTTGCCTCGAGTCCCTCATATACTCATCAGGCTGAATAGAGTGCAATGGTTGTCGTTGATATTCATTTTGTCGTCTAAAGAAAACAAAAAAATGAATTTGTGGTCATTCGTCAAAAATCCGACGAACTTCGCATATTTGGAGTAAACACAAAAAATATTCACCCATGAGTAAAGGAGAAAGAGGACAAACCTGCTGTTGTATGTGGTTTCGTACGGTTGATCGTCAGTCATGTATTCGCTGACGGATGCAAAATTTCGAGAAGAGGAGGGGTTCAGTTGTGTGGTATCATATTGATTGCTGGAAGCAAAACCTATTTAGGTAATAGAAACACAGTTTGTGGCAAGTCGAGTGAGCAGTCGGAATTTTGGCAGCTTGGCGAAAAATAGCATAAAAAATTCCAGGGATAAAACTTCGGCTGTTGTCAAAATGCGAACATAACCGAGTGTTCCCTAGTAATAAATAACCTACTATAGATCTCTGTAATTTCCCCTCGGAGATGAACTGTATCCAATAGCATACTGATTGTTCATTCTGTAAGGAGTATTCTCATCCTCATATCTTCTCCTTCCACGGTCATCGTCCCTAAAAATATGTGATTTTTCAAGAATTCAAACAAAAACATTCATCACCATGCCTTCCAAAACTAATCTAAACAAGTAACGAATGATAAATTGACGAATGATAATGTGCTTATTATTTTTTACAAATCTTTCAGCTCTGGTCCACTTAGACACTAAAAGTAAATGATAACTTATTTATCTAGGATGTACTAAGAAGTATATAAGGCTTCCCAAAAAATGTTCACAATGTTTGATCTCTGATAACACTTCAGCATTGTCTTCCTGCGACCTGTAGGTGCTATGTACCACTGGCTTCAACTTAGATTTGCAGTAAGTAAATCACTGATCATTGAAGGCAGCATCCGGGCAGATGCATGTAGAGTACAGGGGCGCCCGCCTTGGTAAGGCCCACTTTGGTAAGCAAATTCCATTCGAAATTTTGCCCGGACACTGCCTTTAAAGAGGGTCGGGAAAATGGACTCTTTGATGTTGGTAGCGTTGGGTAGCAGACTCCAAGTACCCTGTAGCCCAAACCCCACCTGTCAATTGTGCACTAAGTCCTAAAAATGCGGTTCAACTCCACCGATCCTGCCCACTCAATGGAAGTGGGGGGTTGGTGGAGTTTTAAAGCGCATTTTCCAGAAATTAGCGATGAATTGGCAGGTGGGGTTTGGGCTACAGTGTATTGGAGGTCTATGCTACCCAACACCACCAAGATCCGAGAACGGCATTTTGTCGATCCACTGTCTCTAAAAGCCATGTTTCATCCAAAAGCCTGACAGCCAGAAACTCTTATCTAGACCGACAAAGTCTCTGATGAATATAAAATCAGCAGTTCTTTGTAATACTTCCCCCTCAGGTTATTTCAGATAAACAGTCACATTTTTTCAGTGTCCTTCAAAAAGATGATAACAATATTGAAAAACCCAATCGTGAAAAGTTCTGAAGTGAAATCAGCATGCCTGAGAATCCTGCCACAATTTTTCAAGTTTTTGGAAAAAATCCGGACGACCTATTTCACAGTGGTTTTGTGTACTGGAAATTCCTACCGTAACCCCACAGTAAGGAACTGCGATCGGGTATCGCTCCATAATGCAAATCAAAGTTGAACTCAGCACTAAAGAATTCTACCTGAAGATCGCCGGAAGATGTTAATGCAGGAGAGGTATTTAACAACCAAACAGTGTGCACATTTTTTGGGATACCCTTTGTATAAATCATATGGCAATGAATATAAATATACGAATAAACAAAACTCACTCATATCTCACTTCGCGAACAACTTGTGTAGTAGTCTCCCTCATTGTAATACGTCCATTCGCTCGCTCCGGCAATGGTTTAATGCGCACCATTGGCCCACTGCTGAAAGTTAGGCGAACCTAGAGAACACATTAAAAAAAAAACAGAGAAAACGGGCGCAGAGCGCACAAAAAACCTATAATCTCACCAAAGAATCAAAAGAAGGGATAGAAGAAAAGAAAATCAACAGGCCTCCTTGCAGAGTGAAGGAGCATAAGCAGTAAGAAAGTAATCAACATGCTTGAAGCATCAAGATGAGGCTAGGGGACCGAAATCATTCTCTCTGAGGTTGCGTCGAAATTACTGACAAGCGATGAAGAGTGATCTCAAACATAACTGAATGTATGATGTAGATTAGTTGAGAAAAGCTGAAGGAGAGCTAAGATCTGCTCCCCACTAGATTCAATACATTTCTTTCTGGTCTTCCGAGATGCATCAATACTCACATGCTCAGCAGCGGCCCTAGAATTTTTGGAAAATCGCCACCACACGCTATAATTTACTCAAAACTAAGTCTGTGTTCCAATTTGCATTCAGATGCATATATAGAAAAAATGCATGCGCGTATTAATCATTATAAAAAGCCATATCACTGTATCGTTGTTCTTTACTACTGTGTCTTGCTCTGTACAAAACAGAAAATGTACCCATTCTTGGGCAAAGTTACATCTAATCATTGAATTTATTTCCTTTGATGGTACCCTTCAAGATAGCTCAAAAGCAAATAAACTTGCCACGACTTCGATCATTTTATCCAATCAAGCAAAGAGAAAGAACTAACAGCAGCGCTACAAAAGGCCTAAATATGTTCCGCAGCGATATTCTTTGATAAAACCAGCAAACTTCAACATTTTAGCTCACTCTTTCTTCTGAATATTCTCCGAGCTGAATGACTAAAATAGCAGGATAAAAGGAATAAAAATCAAGTTGAAAGAAAGCTACAATACCACGATCAATAAGTGCAAGGACGCGCTGCAGTTAAAAATTTCAATATGGCGCCGTATAGTGACGCTGCAGACACTACATAGTGTGGGCGTAAAATAAATTGACGCTCACAAAAACATGTGCTGTTTACTTCCAATTCTTTCTGTTTTTGGCAAGAAATACGTCCTATCGATTTTTAATGTCTATCACAAAGCATAAATGTGGTCTGAATCTAATTTGTCAATTCTAAATAGGTGTACATGTCGAGAAAAAGCTCTTGATTCTTTTCAATTTGTTAGCTTTTCAGTTCTGATAAAACAGATTTTTTGTACGAAAAGAACATTGTAGACTGCATTACTCAAGCCTGAGCGAAGTTCAATGGGATATTAGGCTAATCTAATATTCATTAAATTTCCTAATTAGGTGGGGTAGGATATATTGAGTCATTTCAAAAATTCGTTCGCCAGTTTTTTAAAATGTAATAACTTCCTTCTTGGTGAAATTTCCCGGTTTAATTTCTGTTTGAAACAAGAAACCTTTCTCTTTACAATAGTGTCTTTGCCATGAAATGGCGTGAGAAAGCTCGAGAGTTAGAAGCAGTTGAATAAATTCACTCAAGATTGGCATTTTTTAAGCTGGATCACGAAAAATTCCGAAAGTGTTATCGCTTGATAGAGAAAATTCTGCTCTTTACTGTAGTGCCTTTTCCACGAATTAAAACGAAAAAGATCGAAAGTTACAAGCAAATAAAGAGAATTACTTAAGTTCTGCAATTTTTGAGCATGCCCAAAGAAGCCCAAAAACGTCACAAAAAAGGCGGGAAAGCCAAGAACAGGGGTTTTGTGACCTTCTCTTTCTAGCTAAATGGAAACGTATAGCAAATTCCTGAAAAATCATTACTTTTCATAGGAACAGTCGCTCAACAAGGAGTTTGCCTAGCTAGAAAGACGAGAACATAAAACATAAGTTTGTGTTTGTTTCGGTATTTTTTGTAACGTTCTAAGATTTTTGGTGAGCTTTTCTAAAATTAGCAAAATTTGAGTGGTCCTCTGTTCGCATTTTTAACTCTATCACTTGTGCTTGGTAGAACGAATTCAAGCCATTATCAGAAACTACATGATCTCTTCATTCTAGAAAAAATTATTTCAAGCAAAACTAGGCAGATAACAGGGAGTTACGATTTTTTAGAGAGCAATGCGAACGAACTTTTGAAATGACCTAATATATCTCGGTCTTTTATCACTTCTATCAAGAATGTGCTCAGGTACTCATCTTTGTTTTGTATGTCTTCCTTTTCACTCTTGAGGTCTAATTTTAGCCATCTCATTGTCAACGAAAACCTACCAAGTTTTTTTTTGCTTCTCGTATATACTGCCTCACACATGATATGCATATTTTAGGCTTAATATCCGTAATATGTTTATATTTTAGATGCTCAGCAGAAATGGTTTTCATGTTGCTCGATTAAAGCGGAAAATTCTGAGCCAATCGCAGTCCCTCAGATGGTTTATGTCAACCCATGATGTGAGTCAGTAATGTGAAATTTATGGCTTATGACACTATTTCCCATTTTTTTGTGTTACAGCTGAGTTGTATTAGGCTTTGCATCTTTTAGAACGTTTTCAGATTCGTCGAAATTTCATCAAATTCTTTGAAAATCATGACCATATACATGTACCATCTTCCTCTGTTGTGCCACCTTTCGAGGACCGTTCATTACTTTTCACAAACGCTGGGATGAATCAAGTATGTGCACAATCTGTAATTTCAGATGCATTCCGCGCAATTTTTTGGTTTCAGTTCAAATCACTGTTTCTGGGGCGAGCTGACAGTCGATGGACTTTTCTCGAGCGGGCTGTCAGCTACCAAAAATGCATCCGTGCCGGCGGAAAGCACAATGATCTGGAGGTAACGCTAAATTATGAATATCCATTCTCTATTTTTTGAATCTGTCAGCTTTTTTAGGATGTTGGAAAGGACCTGCACCATCAGACATTTTTCGAAATGTTAGGGAACTGGTCATTCAACAATGCTTACTCCAAGGTATCTCCTCCTAGCTTTCACTTTTTATATTCGAGCCATTTGCAGATTACAGACTTGTAGGAAGATGCATGCAGATTAGCTTGGCTTTTTCTTACTGATGTACTATCTATTGATCCTTCTCGCTTGTACGTCACGTATTTTGGCGGATCAAAAAGGTTCAATCTACCATCTGATGATCACTGTAAGAACATCTGGTTATCAATAGGGTGAGATTTTTATCTGCATTTTTTTCTCCCACTTTGCCGATGCTCCCGTTTTTAGCGTTCCGAAGTCTCATATCCTACCTTTCGCAGATGAAAATTTCTGGGAAATGGGTGCTAGCGGTCCTTGTGGACCTTCCACTGAAATTCATTATGATCGCATGCCTGGTCGTAAGGATGTTGGTAATTTGGTCAATGAAGACGATTCCATTGTTGAGCTGTGGAACATCGTTTTTATCTCTATGATGAGGTAGTCATTTTTCATTCTGCATCCATTTTGAAAGCAGCTTGTGATCAAAAAATATGCAGGATTGCTAGCGGTAAGCTCCAACCTCTTCCAAGCCAACATATTGACACTGGAATGGGGCTGGAGCGTCTTGCATCCGTTGTGCAGAATGTTCCGTCAAATTTTGATATTGATTCATTGAGTCCTATCATGAAGCGCCTATCAAAGGTAACCTACAACATTTTTTCTTTTTCTGTTCAATTTGCTCCGCTTTCGTTTTCTCACACTCAAATGTTACATGCAGATGTCCAAAAAAGGACCGTACACAGGCAAGGTTGGTGAAGAGGACGAAAAAGGTCGTGATGCATCATACCGCATTGTGGCTGATCACATGAGAGCGATTGTTATTGCCTTGAGTGATGGTGTTGAACCCAGTGCCGTTGATAATGGGTAAGCATCCGGAGTTTAAGTTCTGATTTTGATTTTCGACTTTGTAAACCCTGGGAAATTTTTCTGCACGGATCTGGATGATTATGAAGAAACGTAATGAAAAAAGAAATGTTGGGTAATGCTTGTGTAGGTCTTTTGTATCACGTTTCTAACCTAACATGCAAAATTTTATCTAAAATTCTAATGAAAATTCCTGCCAGGACCTATTTTATTTCCAGATTTATAGTTCGTAAAATGATGAGGCGATCCTTTTGGCATTCCGCTAACAAGCTGAAGATTGATCGTTTCGCTTGTGCGGAATTAGTTCCTGTTGTAATAGAAACACTGGTAAATTCAAATTTTCTGGTTTGGTTTTACAATCTTCACAAGCACTTGTTCAGAGATTAGCCTATCCCGATCTTGAAACGGCTGCAAAACGCATTAAGGAATGCGTGGCTGAAGAAGAGAGAAATTACTGGAGTGTAATAGATAAGGGGGAGGAAATATTCGAAAAGATACGGTCGGATTTGCCGAAGGATGCCAGAGTCTTTCCAGGTTCGTCATTTTGACTCCAGTTAAGATTTTTTCAAATCGGTCTTCGCATATCATCGTGTTGGTACGGTAATATTCAGGTGAGGATGCTTTCAAACTTCACGACACTCATGGCATCCCCATAGAAATCACAGAAGATCTCAGTAGAGCGCATGGTTTGACTGTGGACAAAAAACGATTTTTGGAGCTGAAAGGGGCGGCAAAGGTCAGCAAAGGTCAGAGGCTATAATTTTTCATCCTAATGTTCATGATGTTTAGGTCCTATCACAAAGCAAAAGCACGTTTAAGAAGGAGTTAGCCTTGGATACTAGTGGCTTAAAGTCTTCTGATAAGGTGAAGTACGACTACCATTTGGACCAAGATGGAAAATACGGTATGTATCCTTGAATTTCAGCCTGATCTATCTTTACTGTAGGAATTGCTTACAGTCTTTCCTCCCGTTACAAGCAAAGTGCTTGCGTTATTTTGCAAAAACAATCGCGTCGATTCCCTGAACACCGATGGGTCAATAGTTCTTGAAAATTGCCAATTTTATGCGGAAGAAGGTGGGCAGAAGTGTGACAGAGGTTTTTTGGAGCTAGACGAGGTGCGTCCCATAAAGTTTGTGCGAGCTTTGATTCCTTGTCGGAGGAAGAATTGCAGAAGCCAGTCTTCGAAGTTTCTGCAGTGGAGAAGATAAATGGGTTGCCTGTTTTGCATGGAAAAGTTGTTGGAGGTGCTGAGTTGACGCGTGATATGATGGTCACTCAGAAAATTGATGTGGTCAGTTTGGTCTTACCAGTTACCTGAGTTGAGGCCAATATAATATTGTTTTATTTTTACTACATTCAAGTGGTGTTCACATTCGTTTCACTGTTTTATTTTGGCCCCTATCAATTTTTTTTGGTTCAGGACCGTCGCATGGCACTAATGCGTGCACATACTGCAACTCACTTGCTCAACTGGGCACTGAGGCGTGTAGGTGCAGGACGGGGTCAGCGAGGTTCTTCCATAGAAGAGGACTCCTTCCGTTTTGATTATGCCACTGATGATTGTGCTGGAGAGGATGACATTGTAAGCTGTTCAAATCTTTTTTTACTAAAATAGAGAATTGCGTAGTTCAGGTGGAGAACGTTGAAGCATTGGTCCAGTGTATGATATCCGAACATAAACCGGTTGTTTCGGACATGCTGCCCAAAGAAAAAGCAGCTGAGCTTCCAATGTTGCAGTCAGAGTTCAGAGAGGTGCTTATAGTATAATTTTTGAATTTTCTTCTGTTTGTTGTTGCGCAAACTGTTTTTTTATTACAATTTTTGAAAGATCTTATTTGTCAGTAAGTATTGTGTTTGCCAACCAGATTCTGCGGTGGAGACTTTATTGACCTAACGTTTCGACATCGGCGTCATCATCAGAGGTCTGAAAACGGATTGTAGGCTTTAGACCTGCAATAGGCTTTAGACCTTCCACCGCAAAATCTGGTTGGCAAACACATTACTTACTGACACATTCTATCATGCCCAGATTCAAAGATAAAAGAGCATGCAACTTACTGTTCTTCTTATTTTTTATTTTTGCTCAGGGAAAAGAGTATCCTGCAATCGTTCGTGTTGCACGCATCGGTAACAACACAGCCGAAGCGGTTGCTGTAGAGTGCTGCGCTGGAACGTAAGCTTTTGTGATCCTTACGATACTCTTCTTGTTTCTGGTCCTTTTTGCGTTATGTGAGCGTTTCAGTCGGTGGGCCTAATTTGAAATTGACATCTGTGCATCTATTGAGACGTGGGTGCTAGTCTAATCATTTAAGATTTTCAGGCATGTGCTAAACACTTCTTCCATTGTCGACTTCACCATACTGAGCGATCGTTCCTTGGCAAAAGGCGTTCGAAGGATTTTTGCGCTGACTGGTGAGAAAGCAAAACGATCTCATAGATATGGGTCTGATATTGTATCTAGACTAGAATCTATGAGTGGAAGCCCGGAAGATACTGCGTGGATCGAGGTTTGTAAAATACAATACCGCTCTCAGAATGTGCAAAATTTCCGTGAATTCCGCGAAATTCCGAGAATTCCGCGAACTTCCGCGAAATTCCGGGAATTCCGCGACATTCCGGGAATTCCGCGAAATTCCGGAAATTTTGCACATTCTGAGAGCGGTATTGTACCAATAGGTGCAGCAAACATTATGCGGACTCGAATTTTAGGGAATTGACTGGGCGCAGATGCCAGATCATGATCACGGTGTTGCTCGAAAATTGATCAAAGTTATAAAGAAGAAACGGAAAGCAAAGATTGCTAGTGATTTGAAAGCGTGACAAATGCTTGATGGTTTAGATTGTTTGGATCTTTGTTTGCTCCTAGATGAAAGCTATAAAGATAGAAGACTTCTAATTTCCTCCTTTGCGCATTCGGTATTCCGTGAAACTCGTATTCCATTTGTCTATCCAGACATTTGAAAAAGCATTAGAGTATTGAACTTGCCTTCATAGGTTTTTGATGTCTTTAGAATCCGATGAATGCAACGTGAATGTGAAGGAGGAATTGAAGGTGATTTTTCCAGCATATTAAAAATTTTGTTTAATTTCATTCACTTTTTAGACAGACGAATCTCATGCTTGTGAGGATACCATCAGTATTAAATCGTGCAGTGCAGACACACAGAGCTGCTTGATTTGCAAGGTACGATGAGTTCGTTCGATAATTCTTTATATAGGAAAATTCACGACTGCCAACAAGATGCGTTAATAAGCCAAGCTGTAAATTTCCAGTTCGCTTACTAGTGAAATGTCCTTCTTTCCGCTCGAATAATTGCTTTTTAAGGAAGAATCCCAAGAAAGTGGTGACGCAGTGAAAAAAGAGGCAGCAGATGCAGAAGAGCCTTCTTTCTTCGAATTGGTCAACTCGCTTTCGGCTGATAGCGATGCTTTTGCTGAAGCTATAGATGATCTGGAAAATATAACGGAAAATGTTCATTGTTTGATACGTAATACCATACAAAGTGATGTGAGTCTTTATCACTAGTTTCTGCTCAAATACCAGAAAAATTGCGCTGTTTCAGGGCCGTCCTGTTGGAGCTTGGAAGGACCTTTGCTAGTGGACTTTTTACTCATGTACATATTGCAATGAATCTTTGACACTTTTTTCTTGTTGTAGTGAGCTGAGCATCAAGAGTGTAAATAGATAGCGCACAAGAAATAATTAATTACGCTTTTACCGGCATTTTTTTCCCATCCAGAAGCTATTCCTTACAAGGGGATGCTCAGAAACCGAAGTGGCCAATCCAAACAGGCTGCATATCAGTGGATGCAGCATAAAACGTTGACTTCGTATATGCATTCCATATCTGCTTAGCGCCTATCTGGCGAAGTTATGAGCCGTTAAATGGCGTTATTTTGCTCATAAATCGTGCATGCAAAGCGCAAATTTGGCAGTACAGAGCCAGTGTTTGGTTTAATGCTGGCCTAAACATGTAGCTAGGTTACTTTATATTTTTGAAGACTGAAGGTGAGATGGAAGTGCAACAGTGTGCTCGATTTCGCAGTTTTTATGTAAGATTTTTTCGCGATAAAACTGCTCATAACTTCGTCCACAAAGGCACTAAGCAGATATGAAATACAGATTCGAAATCAGCGTTGAATGCTGCATCGAATGGTAAGCAGCTTGCTTGCATTGGCCACTTCGATTTCTGACCACTTCCTTGTTAGTGGGGTGCCCAGTAATTGTCTTGGTGTGACTTTTTTCTGTTCCGAACAGGATTTTTACGGTCTGCTGTAGACTGAATTGGTTCGATTTGCTCTTCGAATGCAATTACGTTGACTGTGCGATATCTCATTTACAGCCCGTGATGAAGTCGCCGGCGAAGTTTTTTTTTTTACAAGAAGCTGGTTCTGTCTAATTACCTTAAATCCTGCATGGAATGAATAGTGGGGATTTGCTGTTTGAGGCTGGATCGTCAGCTCAGAACGTGATAAATAATTTCTTGGTGAATGGGAGTATGAAATGAGTTCGACTTGTTTGTAGAGGTTTTGAGCAATCTATTATTGGAAGGATAGGGAAGTCTACGATATAATATACTATACTGATATACTTCATAAGTGTAAGGAAGAATATTACTAATTGAATGGAAAATCGTATCTACTACTTTATAGTACAGTAGATCTGGCAATTAAGCGCAGAAGGCACCATTAGAGCGCAGAAAATGGCCATAGGGCGCGAAAAGCAAATGTGTGCTTATTTACTTACGCGCTAAACTGCAGGGACCATTATTCCGTCAGCTGGACTGATGAAAGGTAATCAAGTTGAATTCGGTAATCAGTACGAATTGATCTCATTGCTATATCCATAAAAGACAAGGTAACTACAGGGTAATTTGTCATGCATAAGCACTGTAAGTAAGCATGCTTTCCGTGCTATTGAGAAATAAATTGCAAAAAAGATGTTGAAGAGTAAAAATTTCTATTATATTCGCATTTCACATCGTAAATCCGTCAGGAGAAGTGGAATGAATTCGAAATGCATAGATATGTCCTCTGTTGCTAGTTCAGAGATTTGTAATGAGTGTTTTACTTTTATCACCTTCAAACTCGTAACAAGTCTTCGATTCTAGCAGAATATTCTAGCACAAGATCATCTTTGAACGCTCCCTTAACACCAAATTCAGCAACTTTGAGGAGCTCATCCTGGTACGATTTTTTTCTTGAGTTTCAAGAAATATTTGCTTGTGATTGCAAACTTCATAAAACAGTTTGGATTAGAAATCTCAACCAAATACTTTATCATAATCTTCTTAGCAGGAAAGGAAAATCTTTAGGCGAAGAATAGCTCATGTTAGTGTCAGACAGGTTATTAGACGTTCTTTTCCACAACAAAACCATCGAAGTCAGGTTTGCGAGGGATGCTAGGTGTAACACAATAAGATGTTACAATCAATCTGAACATGACTCTGAGTCATCGCACCGAAATCTGGTTTTATCCGTCCGTCCCACTTATAAGACCAAGCCGAAGCGGCGGTGCGTTCGCTTACGATTTAAATTCATCGTCCTTTGCTCATTTCTTGTATCTTCTTTCTCTCGCTTCGAATCGGCCTCCGAATTTTTTTTTGTTTTAGAATGAAATTGTTACCTGAAGGAATCAAGCCCGATTGGACAATGGAAAAAGAAAAGGAAATGGCAAGCAAGAAACTGGATGACGAGGAAAGTTTGGTTCCTACGGAACTGCCAGAGGAAAAGCCTAAGACCAGCACCTCAAAAATTGTCGACGTTGTCAAATCTACGGCTCATGTTTTGTTGGAAAAGTAAGCTTTAGTTATCGACTGATTATTCATTTTCATTCAAGAGAGGTATGGTGTTTTGGAGATGAGTTTTTTTTCTCGTGGATGATTTGAACAAATCTGAAAACGCTTCCGCCCTAGGATTGATGTTTCATCCACTATAAACTGGTTTTTCTGGAGTGACGACTTTTGTCAGACTTTTATTGCTTGATGTCCTTGTTTCCATATCCAGTTCAAATCCGCGAAGTTTAGTGTTTATGAGGATTTTAAAGACTGACGAGCAAAAAATTACGAATATTTGACGAGTGAAGATACTGAACTAGAATAATGTTCTTTCGTGAAATTATACATATCATAGCCGTTTTTTTGTCAAATTTTGAGAATTGCTCAACTCAATCCAAATCTATCTCAAGATTACATATGATGATGTCCCTGCATTTTTCTTCTAAATCCAGAAATTTTTCAAGTTGAGCCACATCTACCTCAAAATTGCATTCAATAAAAACACCACTTTTTTCAATTCCAGAAATTCTCAATTCAAATAAAATTATTCAAAGATTACACATTATTTACCAGTTCATATTCAAACTGTTTAATTTTTCAGGAAAAAAGAAACATGTTGTCTCCTCCCACAAAACTGCTGTCTCCTATCCGATAAATGTCCTGTGAGCAAATTGCCAGTGGTACGGCAAATAAAGGAAAAACTTGTCCATCACAAAGAAGAAACCGCTGAAACGGCTTGAAGTTTATCGATTTTCAAAAATTGTCTGCCTGTAATCATGAATGTTGTGAAAAGTAATGTAATATTTTTTGATTGATTTGTGACTGATATGTGATTTTATCGAAGTTGATCTGGTCAATGAATATTGAAAAAGTTAGGTTAAGACGTATTCTAATGTTTATTATGCGGAGTTGATCAAATCAGTAACAACATCGCGAACGTGAGTCCGGCCAAAAAGGATAAAAACTGTCATGCTATGTAAGAAGAGAGCACAAAGAGATCTGCTTTGGTAGTAGTTAAAATGTGAGTAAATAATTTACACAACATAAGTCGCAGGGGCAGGCCACAATGTCACAGGACTATGTATTCATGGTCACTGAATCATGAATGAACCTCGGCAGTTTGAGCAAACTCGTCCTCAAAAGAAGATTAAGTATGGATAATCTACAGCTACTCGTAGCTGCCTGTGGAATCGCGCTTCGTCGTCCTCCGAATCTCGGCTAGTAGTCTCTCTTCAACGACTTGGTTGTAAGGCTTGATCAGGATGATCTCACGAGTTGGCGCAACCAGCGAAAGCAGGTATGCTTGGGTTTTTCTGAATAGAATTTATAGGAAAAAGTACCTCAAATCGACTTTGTTGAAGATCACTAGGTTTGGACGGATTAATAGTTGCAATCTTAAACTTAGGAATGTACAATGTATACTTGAATTTAAGTACTTACTTTTGATATGAAAATTCTCGAATATATGGAGGGAAAAAGAGAAAGAGAGAAAAAAGCGAAGAAGTTTTCCGAAGAAGTAATTTGTACGTTTCTCAATTCTGAAAATCAATTTTTATATTTGGAAAATGTAAGTCGGGGCAGCTTTTAGGGTTTTAGTTGTTATATGTGAATAATCACATTCGTGTAAAATTTCGTTATTTTTTTTTTGTTGGCGACCGCTCCAAAAAACTTAATGCTAGAAATCTCGAGACAAAACATTTGACTTACCCCACTGCGTACAGCGGCTTCTCAATGAATTGGTTTTCAGACTGAAAACTGCTTCTCTTTGAATCCATTTTGATGTTATCCACGCCGTCCATGATCAGATAATCTTGGCTATTTCTGAGGCGGAAGATTTTTGCTCATCAATAAAAAGAATACGAATAAAAAGCGAGTTTGTAATTGGATATAATGTAAAGAATAAAGAAACAATTTAAATGGGTGCAAACAGTTAGAGTAGGAACATTCCTGAAAGGACGAATCTTCAATAGAAGGATGTTTTTATTTCAAAATCAGCACGAATTGACAGATGAGATGGCTGCAATGACTGATTGCCGGAAAAGAAAAAAACGTCGAAGGTTCCTGGATTGTGCATTTAGAAATTACCTTCATGCCAGTCATTTTTTCTGGACTTGAAACATGACCCGAGTGATCAAAAAAAGTTCTTTGTCATCCTCTGCAGAAAAGGCCGGACTTCCGGTGGGCGAATAGAGCACTCAAGTAAGTCCATCATTTGTTCGAACAATAGACAATCAGCTAAGCTTGAGATGCTACGCGCAGATGGATGTTAAGAAAGAGGTCAAAGAAGAAAATACGTATGATCACAACGGAAGAAAGCCGCCGATAATTTGATTGTTCGTTTTTATTTTACAAATTATCGAATGAGCTGAATCGTGGGTGAAGTCTTTAGATTAAGTCTGGTAGGCTTTGTTTTCATGCATCACAAATGACTTGAGTAAATAGATCAATTCCAACTATAGGGCAATGCACTGTTACTAGCAAATGATTCACATTTATAAGCACGTAAGACTTAATTAATTCAAAAAATGTGAGTCATTTGATTGTCAAAGTTTCTTCATTATGAAAAGGATGCATTTAGCTTTTATTTGAACAGCTGAAACATTGTCACAAAGGCACAAACGTTCCAAAAAGTAAACATACCATTGGAAATAGTTTTTATAATTTTCAGTGATTTCCACTTCAGAATTTTTTGAAATTTTATTAGGTCCGGATATTCCCACCAATTTTTCCCGATTGTAAAACCTGATATCTAGAAAACTGGAATAAATATGTCCATGATACTGAGTTTATGGCAACACTACTGAAAATATGTACTTATAAATAAACGTAATAAACGTACCGGAATAAGTTTAAAAACGCAGTAATAAACGTGTAATAATAATAGTTATAAATGTAATAAACGCCTCTAGAGGACCCCAAAATTGCTTAAGGCGGAGTTTCAATTGCTTATTTTTAATCTCCTATCACCTTACTAGAAAACATTTTTGGCACAAAAAAATATTAGGCAACACGATATCTAAAAGGACGCATCAACAATGACCTCAGACTATTTACTTTGAATGACGATTTGCAGTAACCACAAGTTCTTTCTCGAACATGAAGGGTAAGATTTTGATCGTAAAAGTTTACTACGAGAACTTAGTCATTTAGAGTGCGCAAAGAGATTTACAGTCCTTTGATGGAAGAAAAACATTTGCATCTTTGCAGTAACCTAGGACCAAAAATACGATGAGAACAAGCAGTCAGCATCGTTACAGCGTTTAGCGGTAGGTTAGTAAAGTGGTCGAAGTGTTGAAATGCGAGTTCTCCAGAAGTTGCCGACGTATTCACAGGGGTGTCATAAATTCTGCTAGTAGGCTCGATAAGCCGCGGTAGATGGCCGTCGACCACTTCTCAGTTCGGATTAGTAAGCTTCTCACATAAACAAACAAGTATGACGGAGTTGCTGGGTTTCTGGACGGGTTTAGAGGGCAATTAGAGGATGACTGAAGAAAACTGAACAAGTTGAGAATAAATCTGAACTGTTTCGACAAATGCGCGAAATTTTTGAAACTTACCTATATGGATTATAAAAATGTGCAAACGACTTGTTTATTTTTGTAAATAATTAAAATAATTTTTAGAATTTTTTAAAAATTCAAATTAGCCTTATAAAAAAATTTTTTTCGGGAACGTGGCTGACGCCACGCCCCCTTTTTCCAGATTTTAGGGGTTGGGGACCCGCAAAAATTCTGAGAAGTACTCCTAAAATTTTTTCGGAGTGCGTGGCTGACGCCACGCACCTTGATTTGAAAAAATTTTTTCCGCGCTCTCCCCCCCCCCCCCCCACCCGGTCCGAAATCCTGGGACCGCCACTGCTGAAGGATGTTACTAGTTCTTTGTTAAAACTGGGTAGTCATTCTTTATTATTTTGAGTTTCATGGTATTGGTTTTTTTTAGTTCATTCGATGACAAGGATACCGTGTCGAAGGTTTTCTCCCAATGTTTCAGACCCATTTTGATAGAATTTTAAATTGGCATTGCGACAAATTTTGCAGATTCGCTACGAAGACAACATGCTATGGAGTTTAACCTACAACTTTTACCTTTCTTTATTTAATCAACAGAAAATAGAATACTAACAGAATTTGAAGGAAATTATTGCAAGCTCTTCTACTCTGTAGGTCGAAATATTTCTACGTTCTTTGATAAAACTGTTCCTGAAAAAAATTGTGAGGGATTCTAGTATCTCGGTAATGTTGGAGGACTGCATTATTTTTGGTATTTTTTTCAAAATCTATTGCATTTTGACTTCTAAAAGAAGGGCTTTAGTACTATACATAAAGGATGAAGATCTGGAATACATAGCTGTCAAAACAATGTGGTGCAGCAGGGTGTGTGTGGTTGACGGCACAATGTGCGAATTGCGTCCTTCGCCTATAGCTGATGGCCTGATAGAAAAAATTCCCATATGGCATTAGTTGGGGCCAGAGACGCGAGTAGTGCAATAAATGTAAGCGAAGAAGAACGGTCGCGCACACGTGTCTCGGAAAATTCTTTGTGCTGAAGTACTAGCGGAAGAGACATTATGGTAGATTAAGTGCTGCTATAAAATGTGAAATTGTATGTTTTGGAATTTTATCGTTTTGCATACTCTAAGCGTGATTGCACTGATTTTTCCCAGCTAGTTAAAAGCGCTTACTAGACGCAGCCATAGATAGATTCTTGATTTTATTAAAAGATAAATTCCAATTTTTTTCTCAAGTTCAGAATTTGCAATTTTCAGTTCCTAAAGTGCATCCGAAATCACAATGACAACTCCATCCACACCATTGCATGGTTACTGGCGCACTTAAACGCAAATAAATCGAAAACTCTTGAGCTGCAGGCGTCAAAGCAAGAATAAACTGTTTATTTTGAGCCATGTAATATGTAACGAAGATGAACTCAAATGTGCTGTCAAATATGCTGCAGCAAGGATGGTATGGATCCTAGTGGTCTACTTTTCCTCTCTAGTTGCAAGGACTGGTGAGAACCGCAACAGCAACTCCATCCACACCATTCCATACCATTTAGTTGCAGCATACTACAACAGAAAGGATGTTGATGCCCTCGTAAAATGTGCTGCAGCAGATGGATGGTGATGCTTTAGTTGCTCCCACTTCAATAGCAAGAAGTGGTATGGACCACAACAGCGACTCCATCCACATCATGTACCCTAATTTCACGAGTACAGGACGCACCCGCGTTCTTTTTCAAATTAACCAGCCTGAACGCACGAAAATTCGCGACCAAAAGGTCTCTCTACCGCACTGCTCCTTACCCAAAAGAATTGTGTGAGAGGAAAGCTATCACTTTGTAAGGCACAGTGCGAGCGAGCTGCTTACTTGAAAGATGAATAGGGTGCGTCCTGTACTTGCGAAATTAGGGTAGTTGTGACACACTACAACTGGAAAGGATGTTGATGCCCTCTTCAAATATGCTGCAGCAGCAATATGGCGTGGGTGGTAATGCTTTAGTTGCTCTCACTCCAATTGCAGGAAGTGCTGTGGACCACAACAGCGGCTCCATCCACACCATTTAACTGTGGCACACTACAACGGAAAGGATATGCCGTCGTCAAGTGTGTTGCAGCAGCAAGGAATGGTGTGGATGGTGATGCTTTAGTTGCTCCCACTCCAGTTGCGAAGTGCTGTGGACCACAACAGCGACTCCATCCACACCATTTAGATGTTGTGGCACCCTACAACTGGTAAGAATGTTGATGCCCTCGTTAAATGTGCTGCAGCAGCAGAGAAATGTGGATGGTATTACTATAGTTGCTGCCACTACAGCTGCAAGGGTGTGGAGCATAACAGCGACTCCATCCTCACCATTTAGTTGTCGCACACTACAACTGGAAAGGACGTTGACGCCCTCGTTAAATGTGCTGCAGCAGCAGAGAATTGTGGATAGTATTGCTATAGTTGCTCCCACTACAGCTGCAATGATGTGGAGCATAACAGCTTAGCAGCAGAGAATTGTGGATGGTAATGCTATAGTTGCTCCCACTACAGCTGCAAGGGTGTGGAGCATAACAGCGACTCTATCCTCACCATTTAGTTGTGGCAGAGTTGTAGCTCTGGGAACTCTCTAAGGTGTAGATGCCCTTGTCAAATGTTATGTTGTTGCTCAATTAGGAGTGGTGCGAATTGTAGTGTTTTATTGCATACAGTACACATGCAAAAAAAATGAAGGAATTCCAAACGTGGTTACCATCCTCGTCATTACGATGATGATACTGTTATGGTTTTCCTTTTAATGGGCGAGCAAATTTTAAAGCTTTCACCCAAAGTCTAAAGTTGTTATCACTTCGCACACAAGAGCGTCAGTGAAATTGAGGTAGAGAGCCTCTCAAAGCGATAGAAAAAGATAGTGTTATATACTCTTCAAATATATGTAAGATTCATTTGGCACTTAGAAAGGATGAATACTTCGTGACCGTGGCTTTTGAAATGCAACGTATACAACTAACTGTACTTTGAAACGCAGTTTCCCCATCTGTCTTCGTTAATGCTGTGTGCTCTTCCGAAAGAAGCTGTGTATATCTCTTGCCATCAAAATTTGCATTGTTTCAATAACATTCATCAGTGTCGTTGGAATGGCATTTACGCACTACAAAAGAACGTCCAAATAAAATAAAGCTTTACGTTAAGCGCAGGAAAACTGTGTCCGATCAGGACTCAGCACAGGTGGCTTATAAGCAAGCTGGGTATCGTTTTTAGGACAAAAGCAAAGGGAGTTTCATTTTTGTGGCCGAAAAGGCGCAAAATTTGCGATG